TTTTCATTTGCTTGTGGACCAGCTGGAGAATGGTCAGTTTCTCAGGAGAAATGTCTATTCAAGTTTTTAGCCCATTTTTGAATTGGGATGTTTCTTTTTCGGTTTTGAGTTGAAGGAGGTGTTTTGTTGGTTTTTTTTTTCTTCCCTGAGATTATTTGAGAGAGAGTGAGAGAAGGTGCACTTGCGAGAGTAGGGGGAGGGATAGAGAGAGGGATCATCAGACTCAGTGCTAAGTGTAGAGTCCACTGTGGGACTCAGTATCACGAGCAGAAGATCATGACCTGAGCTGAAACCAAGAGTTGGACACTTAACCACTGAGGTGCCCTTTTTTCCCCCCTCCTAATTTCCCTGGCTGAAATTTCAGATGCTATGCTGAATCAAAGTAGTGAAAGTGGACATACTGTTCCTGATCTTAAGGGGAAAGGTTTCAGGCTTTCCCATTGTGCATGTTAGCTGTTGTGAGTTTTTTATATTTATTTTTAATTATGTTAAAGAAGTTTCCTTTCATTCCTAGTTTGTTAAGGTGTGTTTGATGTTGTTTTTATTCATGAAAGGATGTTAAATTGTCAGATCCTTTTTATGTGTCAGTTGAAATTATCATCTATTTGCCCTTATTCTGTTAATGTGGTATATTTCATCTATTGATTTTCCTATATTGAAACATCCTTGCATTCCAGGAATAAATGACACTTGGTCATGATGTATTCTATTAACTTGGGTTGCCAGAGACTGTTTTCTTATGGAAAGAAGTTAGTTTAATAAATACTAATTCCTCTTTATTTTGGACACTAAGTTGAACATACACATACTTACAGAAAGTACTTATGTGCACATTATAAATAACTAAACACATATGTAATTCTTTATAATTTTTAAACTTTCATTTACTTATCCTCCATTAAATTACAAAACTTGATTAAGGTAGGGATCCCTTTGCTCTTGTTTATACTGATGCATTCCCAGTTTTTTGATACTTAGTGCTTTGATGAATATGTATAGAATGAATAAATTAATGTTTAAGTCTCTCAATAATTCTTTATGATATTTCTACCATTTTTATTTAGCAGATTGAAACAGTTTAAAGTGGTGAATCAGTAATACTAAGGGAAATGGCTTTGTTTTAATTAGTTAATGTATTTTTTTAAGGATCTACAGTACATTAGGCACCATGTAACAGGCATGGAGACATAGTGGACAGTCCCTGACCTAAGTTAGCTTACAGTCTGGTTGAGAGAAGCAGACAAATAAATAGAGAATTCTGTAGCAAATGAGGGATTTGATAGAGGTATCAAATCTATATATTTTATAAATACAGTATATTTTAGGAATGTGTTAACTATTTCCTATGTTGGCTGACATTGTTTGCATATGCCCCTGGGTTATGGCAAATGTAAAAAAATAAGTTGTGCTTATAATTTGTGTTTTGCTCTTAAAATCTTCTATGTTTTCAGCCTCATTGTCATTTGTCTACAGAGTTGCAATTTTCTTTTTCTTTCTTTTTTTAAAAATATTTTATTTATTTATTTATTTGACAGAGATCACAAGTAGGCAGAGAGGGAGGCAGAGAGAGAGGGGGAAGCAGGCCCCCCATTGAGCAGAGAGCCAGATGCAGGGCTTTATCCCAGGACCCTGAGATCATGACCTGAGCCAAAGGCAGAGGCTTTAACCCACTGAGCCACCCAGGTGCCCCGCAGTTTTCTTTTTCTACATAGTTTTTCAAAAATTTTTTTATTTTTAAAAAGACTCAATGTACTTAAAATTCAGATGCTTTTTAAAAAAGCATCCTGGTAGTTGGGGATTCTAAATATCAAATCCACATTTCATGGGAGTGTGTTACTATAGAAAGACAAAAGCATATAAGGGTACAGTTAGTATTTCATTTTTAAAACATGTTATTTTTGCTGTCATAAGTACAGTAGTCAAAATGATGGATTATAAACTGCATATGTATTGTGTGTTTTCTTCTTTTAGAATTTTCCATATTTTATGAAGTTACATATAAGCAGCATTTTTCCAAATTAAATAAATATAATGTATTCTTTTTCATACTGACACTTATTACAAATATTTTTTTCTTACGATATTACACATCAGGGTATTATTTCCTGCTCGTTTAAAGCAGCAAATAACCAATATTATCTCTCCCAGTACCAGAAGATTTTTAGATTTTCTCATTTGCTAAAATAAGGCAAGTAAGGATTATAAACAGTATAGTTTGTTTTGCCTTGTTATGTTTTACAAAAACGATTCTATCACTTCTACCATTCTTATCAGTTATTTCTTTTCTAGAATGCCTCAAGTCTCGGTGGAAATTGTAATTGTTCTGACTTTTCAAGAGAAAGCAAGTTTTCCTCTTCAGTTAGCACAGCTTGTCAGCTCTTTCAGTTGTTGGGTTTTGTTTGTTTGTTTGTTTTGTTTTGTTTCTTTGCTGATACTTTATTTTCCCAGATGGGTATTATTTTTCTTCCCCCAATCCAAATATCTCTAAAAATGTAGAACTATCAGTCTCTTCCCCATATTAGTACGAAATTATTGTTCCTTTTTCTAAACGTATGCCAGATATACCATTTCGTAGCCTTTGAAAAACTTCACCTTTGTTTCTTCATGTGGGGTTGATTATATGGTTTCTGAGGTTCTTTATGCAAGGACTTCTATAATTTTATTTCAAAATAGTACAGATTGGAGTGGAATGAATTTTTAGCCCTTAGTATTGGTTAGGGAGTCCTGAACGGGCTATATACTGACGTGATCAGCAAGGATCTCCCCAGTTTTTTTTTCAAGGAGTCCACAGTCTCCAGTTTAATAGCTATATAGCTTTGTGTGTGTGAGAGAGTGTGTGAATGCGTGCTTGTACTTAACACTTATTTGTGTTTGTTTACTAACTCCAAAATTAAACAAAGTTATACTGTATTGACTCAGATTTTCAGTACATCTGAGGAGACAAAGTTAGAACTCTTCCGGTTACAACTAACAGTAACTCTGCTCAAGTAATTAGTTAAAAATGTGTGTGGGAGTGCATAATAGTGAGGTGAGGGATTTTAAAGGCTCATATAATCAAGAAGAGGTAGGGGGAGAAGAGGCCTTGCAGGCTATTATAACTAGATAGGTGTTATAAAGGATGTTGTATTCTGCCTCTTTATTTTGTGCATACTAGTGTCATTCTGTCCTCCTCCAGATGGGCTTTCCCCAGGAGTCAAGAGATACATGGTCATCTGTAATTTTTGGTTTACCACCCTGCAGCCTTGTAACTAGAGGTGTAACATGCTAGTTCCAATTTATAAAACATACAGGGGAGAACTCTTGATTGACCTAACCTAAGACTTATGCCTCTTCCAGTGACCAAGGGCTAAGGCTTATTCCCAAAAAGGGATAATATGGAGTAGGAGAAGGTCATCAAGTAATGATAGCTTACTTTGTAAACAGAAAATACCCAGTTTTGAGTTTACTCAAAAGTATATAAAAACACTTAAGGGTTAGAATTTGTAATGGAAAAGACTTTTTTTTTTTTTTTAACATTACTTCTATGTGCTTGTACCTTTTGCTGACCCATGTTATAAGAGCCATAATCTCTTCATATGGTATAGGTATATTTTAGTAATCACATGAATTAGTTTTGGTTCTGATAGTTCTCAATATGCACGTAGTGCTGTTTTGTTCTTGTGATTTTGAACTTCATCTACTCTTTTGAAAAGAAAGGGCTTTGATTTGGATCCAGCCAACCTTACAGTCAAAATGTAGACAAAAATATATCTGCATATGTGTGTGCTCATTGTTCTTCTTCTCTCTCATTTCTTTTATTTTTTTCTGTTTCTGTGTGTATTTAAGTCACATTCCATGACTCAGTATTTACATATAAGGATTTCTTAAGTAATATGGGTAACATTTATTTTATTTTCATGTTTATTGTATAATACCTAGTTGATTCTCTTTATGGAATAACATGAGATGGAAAGCTAAAATGTCTTTGATTTAGTTATTTATTTAAAAAAAACTGTGGTATAGCCTACCATTCAAATTATTTTTACTATGAAGAGTCTCAAGTTTTGGAGACAATGTAATATGGTTAAAATTAACATTATTTAGCAGTATTTCTTTAGAAATGTTTCTGTGATTCTAATACCGATTTTTATTATTATGGATTTATGTAGTTTCCCTCATAGTTTCAAATTTCATTCAGTTGAGTACTACTAGAGTCGTCGTACTAGTTGTTTTGAAATTTACATTTGTGGCTTTTTTTGTTTGTAGTTTTCTATTAAGTGTGAATATGATTAAAACTGTTAAACTAAAAAGACAGCTTTTTGAGTATCTTAAGCATTTCAGAAGCATCTACTCCTGAATATGTAATTGATACATTTCAATACTTAGCATATTTTCTTCTATATATTACATGCTTAGTTATTAGTTGAGATTGTTATTTATTTAGTTAAAATTTTCAACCACTCTTAAATGTAACAAATCTTGTCTTTATAAATGTGATTATTTCCCTGAATATTTTAAAGGCATTTAATTTGAAATGTTTGTGGGATTTTTTAATGCACTGCCAAGTAACATCATTTACATCTTTCTAATGTGAGATTATGTATCATCTTTTCATTTTGAGACTGTTTTGATGGAAAAAAGATTGACTTGATTTTAAAATGGGTAATAACATTTATGCAAATATTAAAATTGTCAACAATTAAGCATATCAAATATTTGAAAAATGTTATATTCTTAGAATAAACTGTATGATAACAGTTTAAATTTATTTTCTACTAAAGAATCCTTTTATTACCTCATGACCAGTAGCATAAAAGATAAGGGAGGTGTTCTTGTTTTCTGTGGGGTTTTTTTGTTTTGTTTTGCTTTTTGTTTTAATGCTTAGGATCATAACATGTTTAGTGGAAGGACTGATTGAATGAGAGACAAGAAGATACAAAATTTCTTTGCAGTAATTAAATGGAAGTGTTTATTATGTAAAGGAATTCTAATATTATTTGTCAATTTTTATTCTTTTAAAGGAAGGTGCATCGGCCCGTAAGACTCAGACTCCTGCAGCACAGCCAGTACCAAGACCAGGTGAAATACAAAACTTCAGAATTTTTTGTTTGTTTTTTAATTGTCACAAATTTTTTTGATACTACAATGCTTTGAAGGAATTGAAATTTTACTTTAATATAAAGTAATATAGGAACATTTACTTGAACAAATAGGTAGAGTTGAAGGGTTAAATTTTTTTTTAGAAAATGTTTGTAAGATCTTAGAAAAATGTTTTAAAAAGCTATGTATATGTACACATCCCCTCACCAGTTTCTTGTTTGAGGTACATATGGATGTGATTTTTCCTCCTCTATTGGAAGCACAGCATTATAATTTTAATAGACTGTTCAGCAGCTTTGATTCTTAGAATTTCAGATGTCTGTGTTCTTGAACATATAAGATTCTGTAATCAGTTCTGTAAAATGTGTGGTAAGCATAAGCATTACTGAAGCTATTTCGGAAATATTTTTCTTCCCTCTTCCTAACTTCTAAAAAGGTTGATCTTTATAAATGCATGTAGAGACCAACAATATATTCATTTTAGGTGTTTTGGGTTTGATTTTGGTGTTTTTACATTTAGTGTACTTAAAGTGTTAGGCTGTACCTTTTCTTCTTTTACCTCATCAGTGGTTTTGAAAATGGCTATGAAGAAAATGAATAGGATTGGAAATGCACAGGCAAGAATTTAATTGGGTGATCTTCCTCTTAAATTTGGCAGTATCAATAGTGCAGAATTGGTTGTCTTTTTATTCATAGTATGTTTACAAGCTAACTCTAAATTATACATACTAAATACTTCCGGAAGCACTTTAGAAGTACAGTATTATGAATATATGTGGCTTATAGTGGGATGATTTTATATCAGAATGTGTCCTGGATCCATATATCTGGATTTTGACATGAGTAATATTTACTTTTTCTTTTGCTTGCTTGCTTTCTTTCTTTCTTTCTTTTTTTTTTTTTTATGACAGTGGATTTGTTTGGAATCTTTATCATTCCTGTTTTTGAGGATGAGTGGAGAAGAGAAGGACTTCATTAGCCATGTGTTAACTTTGGAGCACACTGGATAAATTTATTTCAGATAACAGGACTGTGGCACTGTTTTTTAAGTACAGAGGACCTTAATCAAAAGCCATATTAAGAGTATAAGGAAGGGCAATTAAATTCTATAAATGTTAGTTTAATGTCTTCCATGTATGTACTCAGGGCCAGAAACTAGAAAAAGCTAAAAAGGAGTTCTTTTCAGGAAGGAAGAAAAAGTGAAGGCAATAGGAATTGCCATACTCAGTTGGGCCCAAACAATACAACCTGTGAAGTAGAGGGGTATTGTAGAGGCAAATGATTGATATAGAACTGTTTCTTTGGAAGGGTGGGATGGGAGGCTATAGTTGGTCAGTCTACAGAGGATCACATTAGAAATTCAGAAATGGTGTAATAGGGGAGAAATCACCACTGGAGATTTCTAATGCGCTTTTGTGTTGTGTAGTGTAAAATTGTCATTTCACGATTTCTCAGAATCATTTGGTAGACAAGGAAAGGGATAGGGGAGGCACTGATATCTAAATAAATCAGGTTGTTCAAATGTACCATGTGATAAAATGAAGTTAAGGGAGCTGGATTCTATCAGTCAGTTTTGTGACCTTGGGGAAGATAATATGTAAACTATGGAGCTCTGAGTTTTTTGAACTCTTGATATTTTATCATTCTTTTTCAACTGTTCTACCAAGGTGCCCTGGTGATTAAGCTGATTGAAATTAATGTGAATTAATATCTCAGAACAAATATTCTGATGCCCATCCATGTGAGAAGATCTCTTCCTTTTCCACAAGTTTTTAGCACTCATCTATGAATAAAAACTGATTTTAGTGGATGTTCAGCAGTTTGTCACCTTTGTCTTGATTAGTGAATTTTTCTTTTGCTGTAGAAATATTTTTTGTATTTGCTTATGGGATGCTGCCCAGTTTTGAAGACATACTGTGTAATATATGACATATTCACTTATGCTGTCTTTTCAAAATTAAAAAATATATGAATGCTCAAAACCTCTTTGGCAGTATAATATGGTATAGATGAGAAATTAGCCATTCATAACTTTTATTTGTAGGTAGAGTTCAAATCATTTGAAAATGGAGGACTGAACCACCGTTTTGTTTACCTCTTCAGTGGGGCGACTCAAATTCTGAGTTCCATTAGTGATTACTTTTTTCCTTTTTATTATTCTTTCACCACATGTTTATCTAGCACTAATTGTGCCAGGCAAGTCCCTGGGTAAATTTGATATTTGAAAGTGTCTACAATTATTCTCAACTTCTAAATATTTATTTGGAGAATGTAACTAACAAAAAGCACATGTTTTTCAGTGGATTAGAAAGGATAAACCTTTGATAAGCCATAGTCCTGTACCTTACTGTCATTTTCTTTCTAGGTTAAATCTCTTACCCATATCCTTGCTTCCTGCCTCTTTCTTATGCATGTACAGTGCATATTTCATTTCTCCAGCTTTAATTTTTTACTTTTATTTCATAGATTGCCTGAAATGGGTAGGTGAACTGTAGCTCTAGTTTGTCTGCTTTACATATAAGATTGATAGAGAGAATTAGACATTTGTATATTTTACTTATTTATTACTTATTTAATTTTTAAAATATTTATTTACTTGAGAGAGAGGGAGTGTGAAAGAGAGATCACTAGCAGGTGGAAGGGTAGAGGGAGAAGCAACTCCCTGCTGAGCAGGGAGCCTGATGCAGGACTCGATCCCAGGATCCTGGGATCATGACCTGAGTCAAAGGCAGAGGCTTAACTGACTGAGCCACCTAGGTGCCCCACCCCTTGTATATTTTAAAAAGATTGTGCTGGTTCTAGTATCTCATTCCATAGTTTTACGTCTATGCTGATGATTTTCAAATTTGTATCTCCAAATCAGACATCTCTTCTTATCTCTGGTATCTTGTATAAACTGTCTAATATTTGGATATGCCATAGGCATCTTAAAACTGATGTAAAACCTCTGTTGCCTGAACTTTTCTCCCAAGTGTCTTCTTCATGAATAAACGGCACCACTGTCAACTCTGTTTCTTGAGCAAAAAAATTCAGACGTTACTCTTCATTATTCACTTTTCACATTTGCTTATTGCTCTCATCTAATAGGTCAGTGACTTCTGTCAAATTTACCTTTTCTGTGTTTCAGATTTGTCTCTTTATCTCTACTACAAGAAATTAAGTCTAAACCATTATTATTTCTCTAGACCAGTGCTTCTTGAAGTGTTAGTCCATGACCTATTTCTGGCTTCCAACCAGATACATATAGAAATTGAGAGTACAGTACTGTCACAACATCCAAGTCCATGATCATTTTCTAGTAATTCATTGTTACTGCATTTTATTCACTTGACCTTGGAAATTTCAAGTATTAAAAAAAAAACACCTCTTATCTCTACACTTAATTTGAGTAGCACCGGGGCACCTGGGTGGCTCAGTGGGTTAAGCCTCTGCCTTCGGCTCAGGTCATGATCTCAGGGTCCTGGGATCGAGTCCCGCTTCGGGCTCTCTGCTCAACGGAGAACCTGCTTCCTCCTCTATCTCTCTCTCTGCCTGCCTCTCTGCCTACTTGTGATCTCTGTCTGTGAAATAAATAAATAAAATCTTTAAAAAAAAAAAATTTGAGTAGCACCACTGTGTGGACTATTGTTAATTATCCTGAGTTTTCTGCTTTCATGCTTGTCCCCTTTTGATCCTTTATCTAAATCTTTTGTTTTTCCTTTCCAGAAGATGTGAAATGAAAATCAAATTATGTCACTTTGTGGCTTAAAAATTACAGGGTTTTCCAGTGGCATTTACATACAAACCTAATGTTGCCTAGAAAGTGTGTATGTGTGTATGTATGTGTGTTTGTGTGTGTGTGTGTGTGTGTGTGTGTGTGTGTGTGTGTATATATTTTTCCATTTGAAAGCATATATTTTTAACCTCATTTCCTGCCACTCTTTTCTTTTGTCCCTGTAGTCTGTACATTTGCAGTTCCTTAAGCACAGCAGTTTCTTCCTGTCTTTGGCATTTGCTCACATTCCTACCCCTCAGCGGGCTGTTCTTCACTTATTCCTTGCACATTGGCTCCTTTTCATCCTTGAAATCTGAGCTTAAATGCCACTTCTTTGAGAGGCTTTCTCTACGCATTGTTCTTTCCAAAGGACACTTCTGTCAGTTTTACATGCCTTTTGTTTCTTAATAATTGAATGTTCAAACTTGTTTAAATATGTTTGTATGCTTACTTATTTATGGTCTGACTCCCCTACTTTACTGAAGGGTTTTTGAGGGCAGTGACTATTTCTGTTTTATTTACAATATTAAGAGGGCCTTGTCCATAAGGCTCTGAATATTTAAGTGAAGACTAATCATATTAGAAATCATACATAGCAATCAATTATTTATTCTCAGCTTATAAATTTTCAGTCATGGAATTTGCTGAGGGTAGTGGTAGTATTAGTGGTACTAGAAGCAGTAGCATTTAGGATGAGCTGCTATAGCCACAGGGTTCGCTAAATATTAAATATGAGCCAAGATCTGATTAAGGACTTAACCAGCATTGTTGTTTTTAAGATTCTTATGGCAGTTTCGAGATGGAGAAACTATTATTACTGATTTATAGTTGAGGACAACTGAGACTGAATGAATGGTCTATCAGTTCAGCTTGCAACGGTAATTTGCCCAGGAAGTGGCAAAATGTAGATAGGAATTGAGATAATCTGAGTACAGATTCTTCCTCTTAATCAGTGTGCCTCATGAGCTGTGTTATTCTGCCCCTTCTTCCCCTCTCCCACTTTAAATCAAGCTTAGTATAGTGTGTTTGTCGTTGTGTCTGGACCTTGGTCCTTATTTAACCAGGGAACTTACTTATATTCTTATGTAACTATTTTTTTGCTATGTCTCTAAATTTTAATATGTGTGCTTTCATATTTTGTCTTTTTCTTACATGGGGTCTTCTCACCCTTGAATTTAGTGATCTTTTTCTAAATTCCTCAGTCCATTGTGGGCTTCTTTAACCAAACCAGTGGTGTTTCAGGCAAAGATTTCTTTTTTGTTGTTCCCCTTAACTCATTTTTTTTTTCAAGCAAGTCCTGTCTCCTGTTTACCCATGTATCTAGCCATCCTGTCTTTACTTTATCCCTCCAACAAATACCAAATATTTACTGAGAATATATTATATTCCAAATGATGCTATCTAGCTAATCAGCTAATCAGGTGTTTTCCTTGAGTCCTATTTTTAAAAATGTTTAAGAAAGCTTTAGTATTTTTTTCTTAGCAAGTAGAAAGATGAGAACACTAATAAATATGTATATTCATGAACTTGTATTTAATATATATTTCTCTGCCTTATGGGACTGGAAAAATCATACTACTGGACTCCATAAAATTTTATCACAGTAAATAGCTATAGAAAGGAGTACAAAGTATTAAGTTAAAATGTAGCATTTTACTGCCTTAAAAAAGAACACATTCCAAAAATGAGTGTATCCCCTTTAAAAATGGTAATCTGTTTTTAACAACTGATGTTGAGTGAGAATTTTAAATCTTCTAAATTTTTATTTTTGTGATTTAAGGAAGTAGAAATTTTAGTACAGTACATGACACATAGAAAGCCGTCAGTAAATTTTTTTGTATGTATAAATTCTGAAAATTGAATGTACAGCATTTTTAGATTCTAAAACATACTAATCTTGAACCAGGCTGATGTTGCTATCATTATGCCAACACCTATTTCCATTATAAAGTCTATTATATAGACAAATAATGAAAAAATGAATATTTGTATTTTTAACATAGCATTCACAATTTTTTAATTTAAATTCAGTTAGCTAGCATATAGTAAGTACATCATTAGTTTCAGATGTAGAGTTCAATAATTCATCATTTGCATGTTACATCCAGTGCTCACCACATCATGTGCCTTCAATGCCCATCACCCAATTACCCCATCTCCCCACCCACATCTCCTACATTCACAATTATTAATAATATGGGCAACTGGGGGCACCTGGGTGGCTTAGTTGAGTGTTCGACTCCTGGTTTTAGCTCAGGTCATGATATTGTGGTCATGGGATTGAGCCCCACATTAGGCTCTATGCTCAGCACTAACTCTGCTTCTGTTTCTCTCTCCCTCTGCCTCCTGCTCTCATTCGATTTCTCCTCCCCCCAAATAAATAAATAAAATCTTAAAAAAAAAAAAAAAAGGCAATTCAAGATAATATAGACCTGCACATGACTCATTGCCTATAATCTTCTTCTAATGAAAAAACAAATATGAAAAGAGAGAGACAAATGATAAGAAGTATTTTAGGTCTTAGTTCCCAATAATCCCTTTCTTTTCCCTCCCAGATAGTTAAGCACTTTTCCTCCTTCCAGCCTATCCCCCAGTGTTACATGTTTTTGCATTTACTACATTGGCTATCATTTAATTAAGAAACTATTTGCTGCTTTTGCTGACTATAATATCTGTTAATGTAGATACTCAAGAGTTTAGCAGCGTAGTATATCCACTTTGTTACAATATATTGTTATATAATGGTAAGGCATTTTAATGTTTTTGTGAAACAGAGAAATTGAGAAGATTGGTATTATTTGAGAAGATTGCAATATGTTTTAAAACTTTATAACTAGTCATATGTAATTTAAATTTTTAGGCCTTAGTTGCTTTGTAACTTTGAAAATAAGAATGCTATTTTGTAACATTCATTTTTTTTCCTCTCTTAACAGTTTCTCAAGCAAGACCTCCCCCAAATCAGAAGAAAGGTAAGGTTATGCATATAAGTTTAAACTTTTTTTATTTTTTTTCTTTTTAAAGATTTTATTTATTTATTTGACACAGATTGAGAGAGAGAGATATAGCAAGAGAGGGAATACAAGCTGGGGGAGTGGGAGAGGGAGAAGCAGACTCAGTGCAGGGCTCAATTCCAGGACCCTGGGATCATGACCTAAGCTGAAGGCAGACCCTTAACATACTGAGCCACCCAGGTGCCCCTGATTTTTAAATTATTTTATTTTTAAGATTTTATTTATTTATTTGACAGAGAGATCACAAGCAGACAGAGAGGGGAAGCAGGCTCCCCTCTGAGCAGAGAGCCCGATACAAGGCTCGATCCCAGGACCCTGAGATCATGACCTGAGCAGAAGGCAGAGGCTTAACCCACTGAGCCACCCAGGTGCCCCAGATTTTAAACTTATTTTAAAAAAAAAAGTAGGGATACCTGGTTAGGGATACCTGGTTGGCTCAGTCTGAAGAGCATTTGACACTTTTTTTTTTTTTTAAGATTTTCTTTATTTATTTGACAGATCACAAGTAGGCAGAGAGGCAGACGGGGGGCGGGGGAGCAGGCTCCCTGCTGAGGAGAGAGCCCTATGTGGGGCTCGATCCCAGGACCCTGAGACCATGACCTGAGCCGAAGGCAGAGGCTTAACCCTCTGAGCCACCCAGGCGCCCCAGCATTTGACTCTTGATCATCATAAATTTGAGCCCCATGTTGGGTATAGAGATTACTAAAATAAAGATAAAACTTAAAAATTTTAAAAATAGAAAGTAAAAGTGAGTAAGCCAGATTACAAAACGAAGGCTGATGTTATGCTTGTGCAGTTTTATCAGATGTTTGTGCATGGTCTCCATTCTGATTAGTCTGTACTCAGGTCATACTGATTACTAAATATTTTGAATATTATTGTTGACTTAAATATTTCTTTAGCTCAAAGGAGTTGGTTATAAATTTATTAATTACAAAAGTAACTATATTTATTTTAATAATAATAACATATTTGCTACTTTCATAATTTTGTCTTTATAGGATCTCGAACACCCATTATCATAATTCCTGCAGCTACCACCTCTTTAATAACTATGCTTAATGCAAAGGACCTTCTACAGGACCTGAAGTAAGTAATTTGTTAAAGTGTTGTTTTCATTGGATATGGAGATGTCTTTGAGAATTAGTAGTTAAGAATCTGGTATTCCTTATTTGGAGAAAACGATTTTAGCTTCTGTGCAATAGGCTTTATAGATAGTCTGAAGTATACTTTTCAGAGTAGAGTACAGAGTACTTGAACAGTGCAGGGGTTTGCGGTACCGATCCCCCACACAATCAAAAATTTACATCGAACTTTTGACTCCTGCAGAACTTAACTCCTAATACCCTATTGTTGATGGATGCCTTAATGATAACATAAGTAATATGTAACATAACAGCCTATTAACACATATTTTGTATGTTATATGTATTATATAATGTTTTGTACAATAAAGTAAGCTAGAAAGAAATGTTAAAAAAATCACAAGGAAGAGAAAATACATTATTGTATTTTTTCAAGAGATTTTGCTTATTTATTTGAGAGAGAGCAAACATGAGCCATGTGGGATGGAGGGCAGAGAGAGAGGGAGAAGCAGACTCTGATCAGGGAACCCAATGTGGGGCTCAGTCCTAGGACCCTGGGACCATGACCTGAGCTGAAGGCAGATGCTTATCAGCTGAGCCACCAGGCGCCTGAGTACTGTGTTGCATTTATGTGGCGGGGGGGGGGGGGGGTAACTGAAATCCTGTGTATAAGTGGACCCATGCACTTTAAACCAGTGTTATTTAGGGGTCCACTGTATATTCTTTTCTCTCTGGATCCTTTAGGGAAAATACAGAAATTTTTGGCAAAAGTTCTAATGAAAAGGATACTATTATGTTAATTTTTAATATGAATTGTTTTGACTTTTTTCTTTTTCTTTTTTTTTTATTTTTTTAAAGATTTTATTTAATTATTTGAGAGAGAGAGAGCATGAGAGAGAGCATGAGAGGAGAGAGGTCAGTGGGAGAAGCAGACTCCCTGCTCAGCAGGGAGCCCGATGTGGGACTCGATCCCGGGACTCCAGAATCATGACCCGAGCTGAAGTCAGTTGCCCAACCAACTGAGCCACCCAGGCGCCCCCTGTTTTGACTTTTTTCTGAAGAGCTTGAGGAAGTTCTAAAACAAATTCCAGTTCTCTCCCTCTCCCCTTCTCCAAGTTGTAGTAAAGAAGGGGAACAGTGGGGCAACTAGATGGCTCAGTCGTTAAGCAGCTGCCCTAGGTTCAGGTCATGATCCCAGGGTCCTGGGACCTGGGATTGAGCCCCATATCTGGCTCCCTGCTCAGAGGGAAGCCTGCTTCTCCCTCACCCACTGCTGCTGCTTCTGTTTCCTTTCTTGCTCTGTCTCTGTCAAATAAATAAATAAAATCTTTAAAAAAAAAAAAAAAGATTGGGAAAAGTGATAAAAACTTCTGTATATATTGTTTACCCTGGGTGTAGGGGATGGTGGAGATTGGGAATATAGTTTTTTTACCCTATAAATTAGTAAAATTTAATTGAAGTTAAAATGAAACCTATATCCTATGTTAAAATTCCTAGATACTTAGCTTCCAGAAATTTTTTTTACTGAGATATAGTTGATTTGACATTTTTATTAATTCTGGGTATATAGTATAAGAATTTAATATTTGTATATATCGCAGAGTGATCACCACAGAAGTCCAGTTAACATCCATCACCATACATAGTTGCAAAATGTTTTTCTTGTGATGACAACTTTAAAATTCCATTCTCCTAACTACTTTCAAATATGCAATGCAGTTTATTAACTATAATCAATGTGTTGTACTTTACATCCCTAGGATGTATTTATTTGGTAACTAGAAATGTGTACCATTTTCATTTGTAACTGGAAATTTGTACCTGAAATTTTTAGTCTTTCTCTTCCTTCCTCATTTCCTGTTTAAAATGAATATAATCACAGTTACACTCAAACTGCTCTAATAAACACACATCATGGTGTGTACATAATCTCTCCCCTACCCAACCAGCTTCAGACTTTAAGTATTTTCTAGAAGTATTTATTTTTTAGTTAGTATGAATAGGTGTGCCACTTTTAGAGATCATGATGAGTTTTTTAAAATCTTTATACTTGTATTGGCTGTCATTTACAGAAGAAAAATGGCAGTGTTAAAATTTTTTTGTTGTTTTGTTTTGTTTTTTAAAGATTTTATTTATTTATTTGTCAGAGAATGCGAGCGAGCACAGGCAGACAGAGTGGCAGGCAGAGACAGAGAGAGAAGCAGGCTCCCTGCCGAGCAAGGAGCCCGATGTGGGATTCGATCCCAGGACACTGGGATCATGACCTGAGCCGAAGGCAGCCACTTAACCAACTGAGCCACCCAGGCGTCCCTTAAAATTGTTTTAAATAACTTTCAATTATATATACATTTGCAAGGCTCAAAACGAGCCATGGTTAAGTGATTTTCAGAATGCGGTCAAGTTTATGAACATTATTACTAGCATGGCAAATAATAAGTGGTTTTGCTAGTAATTTCTGGATGTCTGCTTTTGCTCATGACAAGGATATCCACCATGCTTGCCTCTCATTTTAAATTTCATATGCTAGATTCTCATGACAATTATTTATGCTATTGGTGTTGTGTTGTTTGCATCTGTGAATTGTGGGTGGACCTTGTTCTAAGTCATTACAATTTTATATAGTATACATTATCTTGAATTAACAGTCTTTCATTTAAAACTGAAAAATGTGTGTGGGCAAGGCACTGTGTGCATGTATGTCTGCATGGGGGCAGTGGCGGCGGCACAGGTGTTTTCAGCCACCTTGCTCAGCTAAGCTATGCTTGTCTCCTTTTTAACAAGTTCATTTTCTCTTTGCCTGTGTGATACTAGACTTAATAAGTTAAATACAATCATTTTATTATTATTTTTTTAACGATTTTTTTTTTTTGTCCAAGAGAGTGAGTGAGAGAACACAAGCAGGGGAAACGGCAGGCAGAGGGAGAAGCCAGGTGTCCCACTGAGCAAGGAGCCCAGTGTGGGTCTTGATCCCAGGACCCTTAGATCATGACCCAAACCAAAGGCAGATGTTAAACCAGCTGAGCCCACAGGCATCCCAAAATACAGTCATTTTAATAAAATACTTTCAAGGGGAAAATTTGTTTTCCCTCTTCCCACATACAGGCCCATGAGTCAATACAAGAAAATAATTTCTAAACATTTATTGCAGAATTCATATAGTTCAAATATAGTAAAATGTATTTGAAGAAACAGCAGTCACCCTATCCTGTAGTGTTGTCTTGATTTTTTTCAGTAATGCTGATTATTAAAATGGGTAAATTGTTTACAGACTCACTTAAACACTGCTGGATATTTAGCATTTTAAAGATCGTTCATTCTGCTTTTCATCAGGTAGGTGAAAGAAAATGGAGAACCTAACATTATATATTCTACATAATGTTTTAGAGGATAAGAGTGGTGTGTGTTATGGTCATTAGTTGGAGAGAAAGGTCTTAAAGGTATTCTGTTACAACCTTTTCCTAGTATTTGGTACTCTGTTATGGTGCTTCTTATTAAATAGGAATCGTCAGATTGTCCAGTTACCTTATGTAATTAGTGATTAAGTCTTGGCATTTGTTATATATTTAGAGTTTTGCTCACTAAGTTTTAATTATTTGAAGAAATTCTGGATTGAAGACATCCCTTACTTACAGAATGATTTTATAAATTTGCTTTTGTTGGGTGCCACAGGGAATATGACAAGTCAAAAGTTGTTTGTTTTTTTTTTTATTTTTTTTTAATTTTTTTGAAGATTTTATCTATTTGAGAGAGAGCATGAATGGGGGTGGGGGGAGAGGGCAAAAAGCAGGGATCCCAAAGCGGGGCTGGATCCCAGGACCCCAGGATCATGACCTGAATTGAAGGCAGACTCTTAACCTACGGAACCACCAAGGCACCCCTTAAAGTTGATTTTTATGTTAAATTCTCAATTCGAGGATTTCTAGTCCACCAGCATAGCATAAATTCAAATGCAGAGTAGACCAGAGTGACATTGGGGTAGGCTCTTGGCTGACAAATTATTGAGGACTCCTTTTCCCTCCCCTACTCTATAGCCAGATCAAGATGGATACACTTTCTTAAAACTTATTTGGAATTTTTTCCCCCTAGTTTATCCTTCTGTTGATTATTTGCCTCATGTAAGGTTCCATTTCTAGTTCTTTGTGTCCATCCTTTGTGTGGGTGGTAAAAACCAGGTCTCAAGAAAGTGTTCCTGTCTTCCGTTTTCATCCACTGCAGCACCAGTGATTTCTGGCCCATGACTATTTTCTTTCCAGCTCAGCTATACATTTCAGGTATTTGTTATAATTTATCTGACATTTCTTGGAAGGGTTTTTATAATTATTGGAACTGGAATTTTATAAGGTTTATTTAATCTGTCTATACTGACTTTGTTCATTCAACACTACAGAGCAATAACTAAAAATCAAAGTGTTATGTAGATAAATATACTGCAAGCTCAACCTTCTTGGAGCTCACATGATTGTGTTAGGAGTCATTTGTTGTAACTGATGAGAAATAAAATATGTTCCAGCAGTTAGTATAAAACCCAATTTTAATGCCTTATTATTGAGAGTACAGTGAAAAGTATAATTTTCTTTGACACTAACATATAAACAAATCACATCTTGAAGAAAAGTTCAGAATCAAATTAGACTCAGCAATAATATACCACCCATTAAAAACTTCATCTAGCTCCTCTCACAAATAATGTGGTGTTAGTGAGACCGTATGTAACCATAGTGATTTTTTTTTAATAATCTAAGGAAATACTTGAAATTTACTATTTTCTAGATTTTGAGACCCAAAAAGGGTTGTCAGAATACACTCTTACCTTAAATGAAAATGCCGAGAGTTAAGCGTAGACTACTCTGGTTGTTGTTTGCAGAGCAGGAAATACAACCAGGTCTCCCAAGGACCAGTTTAGTTATTTTAACCTTTGATAATGGAGGTTCTTAACAAACATTCAGATTAAGAAATCAGGTTTTAGGGGCACCTGGGTGGCTCATTCAGTTAAGCGCCTCTTTT